ATTGAGGGAGGGGGAGATTGGATGGTAGATTGGGAGGAGATTGGGAGGGGGAGGAGGAGATTGGGGGAAGATTGGGTCGAAGGGGAGGGGGGAGCAGCGAAGGAGCGATGATGAGTGGAGTTTTTTTAGTTTAGTTTTAGTGAGGTTTTATGGCGCTCGCAACTGCAAAAGGTCATTTGAGCGCCAAGGGGTTGATGTCAACAGAAAAGTCCAAACGGGGAACCAGGCTTACTCTTCTCACCTCTCTAGCCTCAACAGCACAAAGTCTGCTTCGACTATCAAGGCACCCCGGAAATAGCAGTTCACAAGTGAGTGACTAACATACAAAAGAAGTTGAGGGAAAATGACGATAATAAGGATGAGGAAAGTAGAAGCAGCAGTTCCTCCGATGTTGGTCCGGCACAGTATGAGCATGACATTAATAAATCAGATGATTTACAATTCTACTGTGCATAAGATCATGGTATGTTAATATCCTCCCTTTGGGAATGGACTAAAGACAACTTCAGTCAGTAGCAGTGGGGTTTTCGTAGTGAGAGAACATAAAGGCGGCCGATTTGTGTCACCTAACCACTATTCGCCGTAAGTTATAAGAATAAATCTTTTTATAATTTCTACAAGCGCCCAGAGACACGGTCTAGCTACTTCTGCGCCGATCTGCGGGATCGGTGGCGGCTATCGTGGCACAAACCGATCGTCTGACTCGTCGCCTCAAGAACAAAGCGCGTTTTACGGGGTGTCCACTACGGGTGGGATCGCCCGACTCGGTCGCCTAAAAAACAAACGTGTTTTGTTTTCAGTTTCAGGAGACCGAGTCAGGCGATTGGCCCGATCTAGCCGTAGTGGGCACCCGTATTTGTTTTCACACCAGGTGCCCAATGCGGATGTGATCGGGTCGGGTCGATCGCATGACTCGTCGCCTGGATCAATTTGTGCCACGATAACCGCTTTGCACCCTCAATCTGACTAGAAAACCAACCCGACCCCACCCGACCCGATCCCATCCACAATGGTCACCAGTATTGGGAACGAAGCAGGCACACAGTATGTACCTTCGTACGCAGCATAATTTGAACTGACAATGACGAATTTGATTTCCCTAATGTTTACATTTGAGCTCTCCTGTGATTACATCTTGTTTTGTTTTAGTAGAGGTTTTACGGCGCTCGAAACTGCATACGGTCATATGAGCGCCAGAAGATTAGATGTGGTACAAGAGAGTAATAAACATAAAAAAGAAAAAAAGAAGGGAGATAAGGACGATAGATGTTTGATAAGAAAGAAGAAGCAAACCACACCAGAGCACCCGCCAACCGCTCACGATTACATCTGAGCTGGCATTTGCTTACATTTTCCATTGTGTTGAATTTGAACTCATTATGTTGAATCGATTTGACAATTTTGATATTTGAACTTTCATTGCAGTATTTGAACTCTCTATATTTTGATATTGGTAAGGAAAAAATGTATAAACTGCACGTTTGTTTGTTTGTTTTTGTTGTAAAGTTGATGGGGGTTTGGGGGGATTTTTTAGGGAGGGGGGCTTTCTGTGTGTCTTTTTTTTTTGGATTCATTTTAAAAGTGATTTTCCTTGATGAAAACGAAGTATAAACAATAAACAATCCGAAGAGTGATCAAGTGTAGTAGTTTTCTCGAAGTAGATAACTTAAGAGAGAAATTTACAGCCATTTATTCATAATCATATAACCTATGGCACAGATGCACTACCTCCTGCCTTTAAAAAAACAACCCCAAAAACAACCCCCCCCCCCCCCCTTCCCAAAAAAGAACAAACAAACAAAACACATCAACCAATACCAAATCATTCAAAGCCAACAGTATAGTCCAGAATCTAAGACCCGTATCCTAATACATGTATAGCATCAGCACGCAATGTTACTTTAGTGTTTCTAGTTTTGTTTTCAAAGACTCAAACGGTGTTATTAAGCTCGAAAGGTGTCACTAAATATGACAAAGACTTAATGACAAGACGTGATCGACCGGTGACTATAAGCAGAAATAAAGATCTAAGTCTGCATGGTTATTGTTGTTTTTTTTATAACAAAAGGAAGAAAAGCTGAAACAAACACGAAGCAGAACTGATATATTTTTGCTTGCTAACTTAAAAAGAAGGTGGAATTGGCGTGACGTATGTTCAGTTGCTAACATGTTGAATAGCGGAACAGTTCATCGTAGCTTGAACCCCCAACAGAACATTTTTTGCACTCGGGTTGTTTCGAAAACTTCATAGCTCTTCGCCCGCTCGTTTCTTCAATGGAGACAGTCTCATGTCTTGAATAATGACAGTCTTTGAAAATGCAGGCCTTTTGCGCCCCCATTGACATAATTATGGTCATTTAGGAGGTGGGCGTACGACATTACCTGTTTGAGCCTATCCGGGCTGAGAGGTATGCTCAACAGCAGAAAAATCAAGATATTCAATGAAAATGTCTCCCCACTCGGGAATCCAACTTGGGTATCAGCGTGCGACAGCGAAGCACCTAACCGCTACACCACAGACGCCGGTTCACAGTCTTGAACACTCCCCTCCTTTGCCCACTCCTCTGGGATCCTGATTCTTTCTGCAGTGTTTCTACTGGTACTTTCCTACTGCTGTCCTTCAGCCACACCCCTGATCTTATGGTAGATAAGATCTAACATCTAGCCTTCTCGAATAAGGGCAAAAAAATCTTGGATGCCCTGTGTGCACGTTGCGCACGTTAAAGATCCCTTGGAGTGGAGGTTCAAAATCGATTAGAGTAGACTTCGGCCGCCACCCAGGCAAAATTCAAAATTTCCTTCCGACTTTAAAATGTTTAATGTGTCCCGCGCGATCATATGACCTTAAAACATAAAACACTTACAAAAAAAAGTTTTGAACAGGCCTTTGAATCTATAGCGTACGACATCAACAAACGCTCACCGGTCCATCCATGACAACGTGAGCAGGCTTGGTATAGAGGCCCGCTCAGCTGGTCCACGGCCTTTTGGAAATCTGTCCGAGTCAACAGCCGAGTGGTCAGCGAATGAGGCGAGGAGAAATTGCAGTACAACGGACAGCCAGCGGAGGAAAGGCATGACTTGGACAGGGTTGGAAACACTGGGCTGTGTCTGCTGAATATTGAGGGAGAATCAGGGAAATAGGGTATCGTTTTAAGACCGTGATAGGGTACTGTTTGAGTTGTGTTTTTTATTTTGTTTTTTTTGTGGGGGGTTTTTGGGGAGGGGGGCTGTTTGTTATTGTTGTTGTTGGTTTGTTTGGGTTTTTTGGAGGGGTTGTTGTTGTTTTGTTGTTGCTGTTTGTTTTTGGGGGGTTTTTTTGGGGGGAGGGGTTGGTAAGAGTTTTACGGCACTTGCCAAAGAGTAAGGACATATAGGTGACGAAAATTAGGGGTAACAAGAGAGTAACAAACACAAAAAAGGAGGAGGAGAGACAAGGACGATAAATGTTAGACAGGAAAGAAGGAGCAAACCACACCAGAGCACTTACCAACCACCCACAGGTACTGTTTGAAAGTTAGCTTTGCAGTATGAATAGTTAGCTTGTTTGCTGTAATTTTGTAACTCAGTGTGTTATTGGGTAAGTTAGGAAGGTATCTGAGTGTGTTTAATCTGAATCGACTGTTCGGTAAATAGGTTTTGATAGATTGATTTGTTTGTTCCTAGACTGCTTGACTTTTTAATTAGAAAGTTCAGTGGTTGGTTGATTGGTTGGTCGCATATTGGCGTGGCTGCTTGGCCACAAGCAGGGGGGTTCGTTCGTCAGGGGTTAATTCCAAGTTAGATTGGAGTTGTTGCGTAGGTACACTAAAGGTTTAAAGTTCCTCCAACATTTTAAAAACTTAAACTTACCAGGCCAATCCTCCGGTACAGCTGTAGTGACTCGGCGACCAGAGACAGTCCCCAGAAGAGAAACAAAGGGACACAATTCACCGCTCCGCGGGACCTCGTAAGTTTAACGATCCATATTGTTAAAATCTGGAGATAAGAAAGGAAACCGATTTCAATCTTTTCCACAGCATGAGCAGTGTACTTGTTACTTAATATTTAGGTTTAGCTATATAATACTGCTACCTCAAACTTGAAGTCTTCTAGTCCATGCCTTTAAAAAAAAGTATGTGTGTGTGTGGGGGG